ACTTGATGAGAAGGTCTATTACCGTATTGAGATTCCTCTTTTATGGTTTATTTTACTTTATAATGCCTGTGTTTTATTATTTACATTTTAGTATTTGCATTTGAGCTCATTTAGCCCATGTACTTTGTATATTTGAGCCTCATCTTTTATATAATCTATATGTATGGTATATTATATTATATTAAAACGTGTGTATATATATTCATATTAAATATTATTTTTAGATATATGTAAATATGTAATTTATCAAAATATGAGGCAATATTATTTTGTGTGAGAAATTTATGAGACCACACCTTGACTGATAAGGATCTTGTTCCCGATGGTTGTTCATACAAAATAGTATCTTTTTTGTTCGTAAAAAGTAGTATTCTTTTTGTTCGAGTGATTAATTTTACATAATTTGTTAAAAAATCAAGGTAATATTTATTTTGTATGGGAAATCTATGAGAATGCGCCTTAACTGACAATGAATGTGTTTATGAGGATTGTTCGTACAAAATGATACCTTTTTAAATTTTTCCTAAAAGGATCATAATTTAAATATCATTCGAATTTATAATTTTTAAACATAAAAATGATGTATAATTGCTTAGATATCAATTTTAGGTGTTGTGAGGTGCTCATTCTTCCTTATGTGTAATTGTCTCTCGGACCCTTAAAATGAATCTTTGGTCAAAGTAGATTATTTTTATCTTTTAATTTAATTTTTCTTCAAATTTATTTTAAAAAATATTTTTAGGTATTCGATCTAAATAACCAAAAAATCGATAGCGACTCCAAATCATTTGTTTTTTTAAACCCCAATCTATTTTTAAAATTAAGTTAGATCTCTTTCTAACGCCTAAAAAACTGAATGACCCTTTTTGACACGTCGCTACTATTCGGGTAAATAAAGTATTTATCCAAAAAAATTAATCAGAAAGAGACTGTACAATAAAGTGAATCAAAAAGAGATTATACAATTCATTGTATGACGTCAACATGAAAAAATTATCTAATAAACTTGCCACATTGATAAAAACATATCCCACGAAACATACTTTTAAAAATCGCTTCTCACGTGGCACTAAGGATGGTAAATGGGTACAGTTTAGTAGATTCTGCACCGTATCCGTTCTAATTGGGGCGGAGATGGGTATAATTTTAGCGGATAGTGGGCGGGTGTGGATTTAGAAAGTGGTACCCGTCGCAGGTGGTGGGCGGGTAATGGGTTTGAGACATTACCCGCCCCGCATCCGCCCGCCCCGTATCCGCCCGCCCACATCCGCCTGCCCAGCTAATATCCATTAATTTTGGACCATTATGAATTTATGTGTAATTTTAAAGACTAATTTATAATTCTAATATTGTATAAGATATACATGTAATTTATTCAACTCTCCAACAAATAGCAAAGGATATTTTGGGCATTCATGTCTCTACTGTCCCATCAAATTTGCATTCAGTATAGTGGAAGTAATTGGTCCTTATCGTAGTCGACTACTTCCGGAGACGATTGAAGCATTAATGTATGCTCAAAATTGGCTTTGGGCCGATATTAAAGATATATTATTATTTAGTTTATATTAGTTTGTCAATTATGCTTAATTATCTTATTAAAGTTTAGTTACTAACTTATATTAGTTTTACTTCTATTATATAGTAGGTAGTGATTTAAATTGGAGCGCTCTCAGTTGGAGGAATAGAGAATGATTGTAATACTGGAGTATTATATTGCCTGAAATTTTAGAATGTGTGCCAAAGAACAAAAACATTATGTGTTTGTCATTTATGTTTTCTAGACTTTAATTATGTCCTTTATTATGGTGTTTTATGTATTTTAAGATCTATATTACACTTAACTTAGATAATCCTTGGATTATTTTATTATGTTTCTTAATGGACATGTTTTTTATGTTTTTGCTTATGTATAACTTAAGTTTGCTGTCAGGCGGGTATAGACGGTACGTCGCTAGTGGGTAGTGGGTGTGGGGATGGATTTGAGAATGTACCCCGTGGGCGGGTGTGGATTTGAAAATTTGTATCGGTGTTTTGTATTTTAAGATCTATATTACACTTAACTTAGATAATCCTTGGATTATTTTATTATGTTTCTTAATGGACATGTTTTTTGTTTGTTGCTTATGTATAACTTAAGTTTGCTGTCAGGCGGGTCTAGACGGGTACGTCGTAGTGGGTAGTGGGTGTGGGGATGGATTTGAGAATGTACCCGCGTGGGCGGGTGTGGATTTGAAAATTTGTATCCATCATGGGTGGTGAGCGGGTGGTGGATTGAAAAATATTAGGTGGATATGGTGATAGGAGGGGTATCCGCACCCGCCCGCCCGTTTACCATCCTACGTGGCACATATTTGCCAAAAAGAATATTGTTTTAATAAATAATGATGTTTAAATTTCATTATAGATAATATTATTTTAAGTATGGATGGATAAAGACTAAAGACAATTAACCTCTAAAATATTAAATTCTCATATAATTTTAATATTATTTTTATATATTTTAAATTATAATCTATTTTCATCTCATAAAATTTTATAATCTACTATTAAAATTCTATAAATTTACTCACATAAACTATAAGTTTACTCTCTTAATATTACCATGTACAACTTTCTCGTTTGTATACACAAGGACAACCCTTTTTTTCCTATACACTATCAAAGAGACATCTTATCTTGTCCTTTGAAGTGCGGAGCGTGACACCGTAGCCCTTGGTGAGAAATGTTTTCAACATTAACCTTTCTAAATTTGAAATTTAAAGAAGGTAGTGACTAATTTTCATTTGACCTCCAAAATTAATAAAATTTCAGTTCAATCTCCTTAAAAATGTTTAACTATAAATAAAATTATAATTTAAATTTTAAAAATTATAAATATAATTTAACTATATTATAATTTTTTGGTAAACTACGCATTTAATACCCAAATTATCATTTTTAATCTATTTTAATACATAAACTTTTAATTTTTCAAAACCATACATAATGTTTAGTTTTTATTTCATTTTAATGCCCACTGTTAAAATTTAACACATTTAGTACTTAAACTATCAATTTTGACTCATTTTAATACCTAAACTTTTAATTTTATTCAAAATTTAACGTTAAATTTTGAAGATGATTAAAATGAAAAAAAATTAAACTTAGGTATGATGTTGAAAAATTGAAAGTTTAATACTACAACTGATATTTAAGTATTAATAGCGTAATTTAATCATTTTTTTTGAACAATTACAACCTAAAAGAGGAAAAAGAATTTTTTTTAGATATGTGTCGACTGGTAACTTTTGCCCTAAAATAGAGATTGTTCACAAAATCTTAAAAGTTGGACGTGAAAGTAAACAACAGAAAATAATGATTAGTAGTAAATTTATGATCATGACAAGATCTATCATTTACATATTGAAGAAAAAACAATACTAGCATACATAATCGAAAATCTTGCACATGCCGACAAAATTGACTGAAACAGCTTTCCCTGCTCCGCCAAACCTAGCAATGCTCTTCTCTCTGCAATTCTCCTCTCCCCCGGCCATCAACCATCTTCCCTCAAACCCTTCTCGCACGTGCCACACCACCACCACTCACACTCAACATGCTACCCTCGCCCCACTTGCCCAAATCCCCACCCTGCTCCACAATAGATCACTTCACACTCGGTCATCACGGCAAAGAAGAAGAAGACCTTGATGGGGGAGTAGAAGTTGACCCAACGCTCCCATTGGGACTACGGAGAGAGGCAATGCCGAGACACGTGGCCATCATCATGGACGGGAACCGGAGATGGGCCCGGTCGAGAGGCTTACCGGTGAGATCCGGCTATGAAGCCGGCGGAAGGACCTTGAGAAAGGTTGTGGAGCTCTGTTGCAAATGGGGGATTAAAGTTCTTAGTGTCTTTGCTTTCTCCAGTGATAATTGGTTTCGCCCCAAAGTCAGTTTTGTTCTTCTTCTTTCACCTCTGAAGATTGTTTCTTTTAATCGGTGTAGGTTTATAGAAACTGTTTCATCGCAGGTGGAAGTGGAACTTTTAATGAGTTTGTTTGAAAGTGGGATGCAGGAGGATACTGGGATCTTTTTGAGGTAACATATCTTTCATCTTCCATATCCGATCTATATACTGTTTGTGTTCAAAGTTTGTTCCATATCCGAGTCTTTTTTTCCTCATAATTTCCATTGATTCCCTGTTTGACTTGTTGGGAGCTTTAAGAAGAAAGTGGTGATATGTTGTCTTGCTCTTATAACAGGGAAAACATCAGAATATCTGTAATTGGAGATCTAGCCAAGCTCCCTGAGGCCCTTCAGGAACTGATACTCAACTTGGAGGAAACCACCAAGAACAATTCGCATTTCAACTAATCATAGCCGTCAGTTACAGCGGACAATACGATGTCATTCAAGCTTGCCAAAGGTAGCTCTAAAGGCTAAGCATGGTCTTATCGAGCCTAGTGATATCGACATCTCTCTAATGGAACAAGAACTACAAACAAATTGCACTGAATTCCCCCATCCGGACCTACTCATACGGACCAGCGGAGAGTTTAGAATCAGCAATTTCATGTTATGGCAGTTGGCATACACCGAGTTATTCTTTGCACAGTCACTCTGGCCTGATTTCGGAGAAGCTGAGTTTTTGAAGGCATTGCTAGCCTTTCAGCAACGGCAGAGACGTTATGGTGGATGAAGGGGTTTATAGCGACATATAAGGATTTATGCTAATAAATGGTGGAGGCAACTAATTGTTGTCACATCTTATGTATATTATTATGGCAAAGCTGTTTATTTAAGTTTTTTGGGGACGTAGAATGTCTTAACAAAAAAATATGCAAGAACAACACAGGAAAAAGAAATCTAAGTTCAACAACTAAATTTAATGAAACATGATGCATAGTATTTCCCTAGGATGCATCTTCCTGTTAGTAAATATATACTGGATAAACACGAAACACTAAAGCATCATGAAGCTAAGGTATTCAAGAGCTATCATTTGACCTACAAGTATGAACATACAAAATATAACTTTTAGCAGTGTTCAATCATTTCATGTCCAAGCCAGCCATTGACTTCATCTTCTTCATCATCATCATCCTCAACTCGGCATCGTCCTTCCAAAGGTTCACAACATCAGATTACAGTAGGGCATGCAAACAATGCACATAAAAACATGACCCAAAGTGATGCAGCCAGAAATTAAAACTAGATTACCTCTCCAGTAGCCTCATTCTCTTCATCATTCGCCTCTTCAGCATCTTCGTCGTCTGCCACACCATTAGCAGAAGTTCCCTATCAATTATGACAGTTCTAATAAAATCAGTAAAAAGTCGAGTGAAATCATTGTTCGAAATGGAGAAATCATAAGGCAATTTGTTCACCTGCTTCTTGTTGTAGTCCTTCATTTGCTTTTCATAGTCACCCTTCCTTTTTTGAGCTTTGGTCTCATACGGGGCTTTGTCCTTCATACACATGCAATAAATTCGGCAAAGGAAATTATTACAGTTAGTAACAACCCTTCTCGTGAAAATGGAAATTTTAAATACTAAGGCCACTAATTCGCACCACCAATAGAAGTGTTTAGAAGAAATGATAATGCGTATGCCAATATTTAAAGCTTCAGACAATAGTAAGCCACAAAGAAATCCAATTTGAAGCCAAAAAAGATGGAGATATTTATCAATGCCCAAAGTCCATGCAATTATAGTATCCAGACAAAACAAAAATCTATATAATAAAGGTTTCAGAACTTACTTCCTCAGACATGGATTTCCACTTCTAACCACAGCTTTTCCAACCTTCAAACAAAGAATTCAAATAAGCAACCATAACATTCTGGAAACATAACTTCGATAGCAGCTCTAAGATTGCAACTTTCAGCCGATACAGCCTTCACATTAGGATTTTCCTTCTTGAAAGTAGTTCTAAACTCTGCGCTGTTACACAAACAAGATTAAACCCCATAAAAATAGATCACCACATTCAAGTAATTTATTTATACAATAAATACAGGAAAACAAAGAAAGCACTAGAGGCCTCTTTGGTTTGTTGGGATCTTTATTAGCTTCCTCTCCTTCTTGGCTTTCCGAACCGTACTTTTATCGACAGTTGCCTTCCGCTTCCCAACCTTTCTGAAAGGAATAAGAAAGATGATATATAAATCACTGCAATATTCCTATACCAGCAACTATATCAACCATATTCATATCTAAACATCATTACGCATCATCAAAACTCAATGACTTAGCAAACGCTACTGACACCACTAGCAATTTTCGTATGTCAATTAATTATAGATGTAAAAGAGAAAAAAGCAGAACTAAGTCAACTAACCTGTCATCAGCAGCAGGCTTCAGGCTGTAGTTGTGTTCTTCACTGCACCTTTACCTCTAGTTCCTGTCATTCTACAGTATACCAAAACATAAAAAGATTAGCAATAATCGATTAGATAAGAGAAAAAAAACATAAAAAGATTAGCAATAATCGATTATATAAGAGAAATCGCCTCAGTGACCAAAAAAGTTATAATATACGATTTTAACCAACTTTTTTGGATTTGCCAAAATGACCAACAAAATCGCAACGCGAAATAAAATCGCAACGCGATCCCCAGAATCGCAAATCAGTTTTCCAAAATCGCAACGCGATTCTTGAAAATCGCAATGCGATAGTACAAATTCGCATTGCGATTTTCCAAAATCGCAACGCGAATATGAAAATCGCAACGCGAACACATAAATCGCAACGCGTATCCGTAATCGCAACGTGTATCCGTATATCGCAACGCGTATCCATAAATCGCAACGATAATACATAAATCGCAACGCGTATCCGTAATCGCTACGCGATATTTAAAGCGCCATTATAATCGCTACGCGTATTTATTTTCAAATTACAAAAACCAATATTAAGACAAAATCCCGTAATCGCAACTCATAACCTAAAACCTAAAATCACAATTCAGTCCCATCTCCATCTCTCACTCTCTACGGCGAAGAAATCCGTCCCATCTCCGAAGATTTCCGTCCCATCTCCGGCGAAATCCCTCACAACCATTCACGGTCAGAAATCCCTCACATATTCAGAAATGGAAAATCAACCTCCGAGGGTTAGTTTTTTAATTATTTTTATTTGAAATGTTTGCATTATGTAGGTTTTTTCATATTGAACTGATGATAAGTTTATTGGTCATTTCAATAATAGATTAACCATTTCACTTAGATTTCATTTCGCGTTACGATTCTGTCGTTGCGATTTTCATTTCGCGTTGCTATTCTCTCGTTGCGATTTTCAAGTTAGTATTTGTCTTTGTCTTTGTTCTGTCTTTTGGTTGAAGTAATGCAATCCATTCAAGTTTCAATTTGCAGAAGAGTCGCAACGAGATAAATGAAAATCGCAACGAGAGAATGACTGTCGCAACGAGAGAAATGAAAATCGCAACGAGAGAATCGCAACGCGAAATGAAAATCGCAACGCGAAACCAAAATCGCATTGCGATTTCATTTCGCGTTGCGATTCTCTCGTTGCGATTTTCATTTCGCGTTGCGATTATCTAGTTGCGATTTTCATTTCGCGTTGCGATTCTCTCGTTGCGATTTTCATTTCAACCAAAAGACAAAACAGTGTTGCAAATTTTTAGTTTCAAGATAAACTACTACTTTTTATGTTTATTGTTTTTGGTATATCTTCACAGTGTAGTTTTTGGGTATATCTAACTTGGTATGTTTATTGTTTTTGTAGAAATTTTTTTCGGCTCAATTGACCTTGAGAAAATAAAGTCAGCCTGGCCACTACAATTGCTTCGAAGCTTTCACCTGCTCAAAGACAATTGTTTGAGGAACCTGCTTCGGGCCATGGCTGAGAGTACAGCATCCGGGTGGAGATGCTATTTGACCCATTTTGGGCTTCAGACCATGACATCAATCTACCCGACAGTATACAACGTGGTGAGGAAGATATGGTTTCATTTTCCACCAGCGTATACTTGTTTTGGGCGGAAGGAGTTCGCTTAATCACTGGTCTACGATTCGGACACGATGATGTAGGCCGGTACACGTCGTCATATCGCCCGCCCATCATGGTTATCCCGGGTTTTTCCGGATGAGTCATGGAGAAGCCGAACCATGTCGACGACCTGAAGAAATTGTTTAATAAAAGAGCTGGTTTCACTCGGATGGATGACGTCGATGTTGTCCGAGTATGCCTTCTACTACTTGTGTATGTCGCTTTTTAGGCAGAGAGGCCAGACAACCTATTCATCGGGAGCTAATAATATTGGTAGAGGACCTGAATGCATGGAATCTGTTTCCGTGGGGTTCGTATATATGGAAAACTACCTGGACTAAGTTGTCTCTGCCTTTGATGACCGCAAAAGTTTGCGGGGCGATGGGTCCAAATACACTTTGTCAGCTTTGTTTGGGCCTTTAAGGTAAGAATTTCTATATAATGTTTCTAAAATTATAATTAATTATTTAACAATTACTAATTTTGTTATTATTTGTTTGTAGATTTGGTATTCGAGGCTTTCCCCAGCATGCGTACATATGCAATAAAACGTCAAATGATATTCCCAGGGCTATTTCCTGGAAGAGGAAACTCTGTTGGATTGGGAAGACTTAATACCATATGCGACAATAAATAATGTAAGTTAACACAAATACTTTCATATAATATATAAACAAGTTATTAATAGTAGACTTTTACTTTGTTTGAGTTTTTATATTTTAGGAGGCCAACATTCCATTACAAAGACTGACACCCACGGAGGAAGAGCTTGCCACTGATTGGTGGCAAGCTAGTCAGAGTTTTTTTGATGGCACGGATGATAGCAGCATCCACAGCGAACTATTCTTTCGCTTCAATTGAGCTCAAATTTTAGGCTTCAATCGAACTTCTAAATTTTTTTTGAGTTCGAGCCTTTTCGAGTTCAAGTTTTAGTATTATATTTCAAGTTTGAGTTGAACTTGATAATTTTTAGCTCGTGAGTTTTTTAGTCGAGTTGAGCTTACTTTTAAAGTTTTCGAGTTCGAGTCGAGCTCAGCAATACTCGAATTTGACTCGGGTGTTGAACAAACGTCGTTTGGTTTAATTTTTTTTAAAAAGAAAAAAAGTGAACTGGTGGTTCAAACCGGTTTTGCTGGTTTTCAGCCAGTTCACCACGGTTTTACTGGTTTTCAGCCGGTTCTACCGATTTTTAGCCAGTTCATTGCCAGACCGGTTTTGTGAGGTAACCGGACCGGACAGGCCACCGGTTCACGGTTCAACTGGTTGAACCGGTCCGGTCCGTTTTGATAACCATGAGTTTTAGCATTGATGATTGTGATTACCACCAAATTATTCCCTACGAGGCTAATAGAGCCTATATTAATTTAAAGATGATGTTAGATGCAGAATAAATATTTTTTTGAATAAATTTAATTTTATTACCTAAGTATAGTTCTTATGTAGAAAAAATCCCAACAATGTGATAAAGGTTACAAAAAATTATCCCAACAATGGGATAAAGGACTGCCTATTTACAACATAATTGGATGGTCAATACCCCAACAATTACAAAGGTAAATGTTAATATTATCTAATCTATTTATATTTCTTCCTCTTAATTGGATACGTACAATCTCCTTAATAGAGTTCAACATTTCTTTCACACTTCTTTTGTTTCCTTGGAACAGTCTTTTGTTTCTTTCCTCCCACAGTGAATAGATTAAAGCGCACCAAGCAAGTTTCAAGATAGTAGTGAGGAGAGACTTACTTTTCCAAGCACTACAGGCCCAGTCTAACATGCCCACCATCGTAAAGGAGGAGTGTATAAGCCGGAGAGGTTGAGGATATCATTCCACAGGAAACTGCATGAGGCATTCACTGAACAAGTGTCCCTAGTCTCCGTCCTCATTGCATAATATACATGAGCTGTCAGTAATGATTCCCATTCTAAGAATCCTATCTTTAGTTGGGAGTCTGCCAAGAAGCGTCATCCATGTAATCATGCTATGTTTTGGAATGTATGGAAACCATATCAATTTGTGCTATGAGACTTTAGCTCCTTTTACCCGAAGTTCTTTCCTAAAGTCATTTCTTTCTAGCTCCTGTAGATAAAATAGGGATGGCAGTTGCCCTGAGTTTCCATAAGCGTCTGATACACTAGCTAGAATTTGCAAAATCTCCATGGACATAAAGTCTTTATCCTTGATAACATAGCTTTTAATCTAAGCTACTCACAAAGATCCCTCTCCAGCAAGGATGTTCTTGATAAGTTTTATCATACATGTTTTATTCCATGTTTTAATATCTTTTAATACAAGTCGTCCTTCAGATTTGGCTTTGCAAATTTTTGCCAGCTGAATCTTGCTCCAGTGGCTGCCTTATCAGTGGCTTTCCAGAAAAATCTAGAGCAAAGTTGTTTAATCCTGTAATAATAGTCTGCAGCAGAATTAATTATCTGCACCAATAGTTTGCTATACTGAAAAGGACAGCTCTGATTAGTTCTAATCTGCCTGCATAATTCAGTGTTTTCCCGATCAGTGATGAAGCTTTAATGATCATTTCAATAAGAATTATGCAATCCTTTTCAGTGAGTTTCCTTGTGACTAAAAAAACCCTAGGTATCTGACTGACAGTAACCATGTTTGAATCCTGTTGATTACAATATGGTCGAGATTTCTGGTTGAAATTCCAGTAGTATATAGCTCACATTTGGTAGCATTAAGATTTAGACCAGACATTTCATAGAATTGATCTAGAACGCTAATGACTCCAGCAACAGATTTGATGTTTCATTTATAGAAGATTAGTATGTCATCTGCAAAAGAAATGTGAGTGAGGTTGATCTTCTTACATTTAGGATGGTACCTAAACAAACTTTTAGCAGCAGCCATGTTGAGAATTCTAGAGAGCATATTCATTGCAAGAACAAATAATCGGAGAAAGGGGGTCATCCTGTCTTATTCCCCTTGTACCTTTGAAGAAGCCAATCAAACTTCCATTGAAAGAAATAGTATTTTGCTTCAGAATAGCAAGTTTCAATACAACCATGAAAGAATTAGGGAGAGATAAGCCTTAAGGATGGAAGAAATGAAACCCAGTGAAGAGAGTCAAAAGCCTTTTGTAGATCAATTTTCATGGCACATCTTAGAGAGATAGATTTCCTTCCATATCCTCTCACCAGTTCTTGAGCAAGGAGGGTGTTGTCAACAATATTTATTCCTTTGACGAAAGTTGATTGGTTGAGAGATATTATTCCTGGTAGTAATGTAGTTAACCTTTGACTAAGATCTTTGTGATTGTCTTGTAAATTACAGAGTAACAGGAAATGGGCCGAAAGTCTCTAACCTTGTTGCGATTAGGGACTTTGGAACCAACACAATAGTTGTGGCATTGAACACCGGAAGGATGAATGTCTATTGAA